CCCCGATCATACTGAGTCATTTGCATGCGTTGTTATGTCGTAAATAATGATGATGAAACGGATAACACGGATGAAAATTAAAGCCCCGAACCTTTCCATGATCCTGCTTGAATAACATAAAGAAACCCACTTTATGGCAAAGTTTACTGACCAGAAGTGTACGTATAGGTGAGAGACGAGGTCCATGAATGAAGCCTACACGTGTAACGATTGAGGACTTCATCTGCGCTGACTACTGGTAGAACCAAAGACTGTTGTTGGCTAAGTGCATACATTTTACTTTGATATCTTCATAATCAAGCGTCTACAGTCACCATATTCATTCATCGACGTACATAGTTACACGTTGGTTGGGATTACTGTCGTTTTTCGAGCTCCTCATCCGCATTCCCAAATAGAAGTCCGCGAATTATCTTCGTATATGTCGGTTCGTGTTGTACCTTTTTCAGACAAGTTCAGTAGGAAAAGCAAGGAATTACGGAAAAAGTGCAAAGCCCGGTGGTGGACAAACCTTCTGTCACCCGGCCTTTTGTGAACCATCCTTTTATCTAACAACATGAAAGGGAAAACACGAAACCATCAATCTCATGGACATTAGCTTACTGAGGGGAAACACGGATTCTGCACTCAAATTTCTTCCTTCTTGTCTCCTCGCACCGAATTGTTGACCGAACCCTAACAAATCCACATCGTGGGATGTCAACCAGTTATAGGTCTTCAGCTACACGTGCCACTCCTCTTTTCTACCCTAAGCTAGTATCAGTGTCCTTATCCAACAGTCAGTCGCTATCTGAAGAATATTGAGTCCGTACTTTTTAATCGGGAACGTTGGCCGATTTGGCTCAAACTCTATTCATTCTTTTAGTGAATACTGTTTTGTCGTTGATCGTTCATCCAATAGTGGAGAGTTTAATGGTTTGTCCCTGAAAACTGAACACTCCCAACAAGTGTATGCTCTACCCAAACGTGAAAGATTCCTGATCGACCGTCAACATGATCTACAGCAACATTCTTCCGATGATCTACTAATGTTTGTCTTACAATCCTCCACAGACAGGGAGAAACACACTCGATCTCTCTTAAAATCTCGGAAAAGCTGACCCGGTGTTCCACCGGAAGCTATCCCGGTTTCCCGTCTCGTTTCGGGTGATGAGCAAATTAATGAATATCGGAAAGAAGACGGTCTGGTGCGAACCATCTCTGAACATCTGCGGTCAAAAACGAAGCTGGAAGAAACGTCACCAGAAATAGGTGAATTATTCAAGTTCTGGGATCGCTTGCATTTGAACAATGAGAGCTTGGTGGTGTAAGTGGACATGAAACACGGACCGAGACCGAGGCGATTGCAATTCATCCCAGCCGATCTTCGCGAAAAGGTGTTGGAGCTTGCACACGACGAAGCACATATGGGACGGCAATGAAGTATCGATTCATTACGATGTGGAGTGTTCTGTCCAACAATGCGTCGATGTGTAATTGAATACCTCCGTTCTTGTCCCGAGTGGCAACATAATAAATACCTGACACCATCAACACCGTCAGTACAATCAACACAGACCCAGAGAGTAATTCAAACCTGGGGACTCGATGTGTTCGGGCCTCTACCTATTGGTCCAACTGGCAACAAGTGTATTGTTGTGATGGTCGAACTCGTATCTCACAGGATGGAAGTGGTACCAACCTCGGATGAAACAGGAGAAACGGTTGACAGGATATTTATGGACAATCTGGTTGCACGATTCGGCACCCCAGAAAATGTCATTGCCGATAAAGGACCGTTTTTTGAAAACAAAATGTTTCGGGACAACTTAGACCGTTGGGGCACCAAACAAACAAGAACGTCCCCCTATCATCCGCATACCAACGGAATGGTTGAACGGTTCAACAGGATAATGAACGAATGGCTCAATAACCATGGCGATGACTGGGAAGAAAGCCTATTGTAAATACTACTCAACTACAGAACCACATCTCATTTGACAACGGAGATACCAGTCTACAAGATCATGGAGAGAATAGCCGCTCACAGAACCAGGCAAACCCAGCAGCGCAACAAGGCAAGGTGTGACAAAGAACACCAAACACAAAAGTGGGGGCGGTTCGTCCCGGAGAGCTAGTAAAATTCAAGAATCAAGGTTGACCCGAAAAAGCAGTGCCGGGGACCGGAAAGTTCAAGCAGAGGTGGATGGGACCATTCACTGTCCTGGATAGGAAGTACACTAGTATTCGGATCAATCAGGGTCCTCTGCGGAGATGGGTAAATGGTAAAGAATTCAAACAGTACTACATCCTGAGCGGTTATTTTAAAGGAGGGACGAGGGTGATGGAAGGTGGTACAAAGAGAGCTCCGTTCAGCGATCAGATGAAAAATAGGGCCCATCCAACCAGATGCGCAGATGCAAGGGCTGGAAGTACTTCGCGAGACATTGTCGACTAACACCAGAAACAAACGAATCGACAATTACAGCCCGACGGACAATATGCATCTAGCCAGAAAGATATCCACCGACTATCACAACGTCGGAGTTGTCGATCAACTATGATCGGGTCAAACCAGTCGGAACGGCACGCGGAAGAGGCAAAGCATATGCCAAGTGGGAACCAAAAAGAACGGATTGGTTAACAGGATGAGGCATGAATCATCCTGCCGCGCAGTTACGAATTGATTGTATATAATTGAACGCATACACCATTTGTTTTTTTTAAATTGGATCAATGGACGTTTTACCAGCCAACTCGCCTTCTAGTGACGGTATGAAGATCGACTACCGAAAATACTCATGTTTAGGTTTTCTCCAGCTCTCTACGTTTTATCAGTAAGCAAATCATCGGCGTCAGAGTTGATGAGATTCCATCTCAGCTGTTTTTTGTGGAAACAAGGTTCATCATTTTTGGCTAACAACTATCTGCTACTTAAATAGCACAACCTGTCCTAGGAATACGAGAAAGCTTCCCAAACATTCATTGCAATTTACCCGAAATATCAGATTTTCTCCCACGTTTATCCTTTGATTCCACTCAAATGAGTTCCACTAAACCTTTTTTATTCAACTGCCTATAAGTTCTTATTTGTCCCGGTTCCCTTTTATCATTCAGCTTGCTTCGCTAGCTTTGTGTAAGGCTTTTAATTTGAGCAGTAGCTTCGTTGTTCTTTATCGACTTTCGATGATTCGGTTAGTTATATTCAGAGCATACATCGTCAGTCCTCTTCCCCGTAATTGATGATTACCGCTAAATACCTACCGAAGCCTAATCTAGCCTAACTAGTTTTGGTCATCGGTTTTCGTACTTTACTGTTCAATGATAAACTATTCAATCTGCTCCTTGCGGACAACTCACATTCCCTGGCATCCCATTCTTTTAGCGAATGTGGCCTCACACTTAATTCTGTGACACGAGTTTTACTTATGAGATGTTTTCTCTAACTTTTGTAACTCAAATTGTGTACAACAACAAATGGACAGTGCCACAAGATAAAGGTCCTCCAGGAGGGAATAACACAATACCTTGTCGCATACTACAATCGCACTTTTGATTTCAGAACCTAATGATTTCTTATGTGCGTATCGCAGGCACGAATGAAAGAATTCCACTTTGGGAAATATCTCACTAGGCCAAACTATGAAATAGCATAAATTGTACGCGGTTGAGCGGATTATACTCCACCCGGCTAAATGAACCAGTCTTCGTGCACACAACAGAGATGTGATCATCAAATTTTTTACATATTTTGTTTGCTCATGTCTACGGTAATCAGTATAAACAGAACAACCTTTGTTATGAAACTTGAAACTGAAGCGAAGGAACTATTACCTGTAATTTAAGTGCACACTTGGTTAATCGTTTGGTTTTATAGGGTTGCGGGATGAGTGTAGAAATTGTTGACAATTTGTGACTTAGTAGGAAACATATTTATCAAAGGCCGGAATAAATACGATGTGGGGAGTGCAGCAGTAATGCAGTTTAATTCACCACCACTATTTTTCCCGCTCAAGACAGACTTCGGTTCAGCAAAGAAAATTCGCTAACTGACATTCGAAAACACCGGCAAGATGAACCGTACTGAGAGTCTGCTCAACGAAATGAGACAATCAGTAAAGACGGAACAATCTGAAACGTGTATCCAAAGAAATAGTAGCGCAGTCACTGTTTCGCACTCCAACCACAGAGATGGTGCTGATGATCGCATAATGGTAACAAAAATGAAAATCTAATGACTGGATGGTAATCTCGATAACCGATGGCCCGTGTATTGGTCAAGCATAATTATTGGGTGCAAGCGACACATCGCACGAAGTGGTTAATTAGAAAAATGGATAGGAGATTCGCAGGAGAACCGTAAACAGACAGGTCATGAGTTTGATACCACCTCCGTCTCTCCGTCTGCCTTCAACCAAACGTTGAACAAGCTTGCATTGATTTATGGTCATCGACATGAACCTTGACGGTCTGTTTGGAATGATACCTGGACATCTGGAGTTTACCAAATGCTACCTTCCGTGATCGGACAATGATGAAATACTGTGCACATGTGCCTGTGGGACGTCCTCCCGGGAATTCACAAAAATTCTGAGAAACAGCTATGACTCGGAAGGCTTTCATTAGGATGATTGGATTTGGTCGGGTTTTCGGTTAGCCCTTCCGCGGGAGAAGTCCCGAAAATACACGACAGAACCAATGAAATCAGAAGCCTAGCCTAACCACCTGAGGTTATTCAGTATGTTTCATCAGGTTATGTGGTCACCGAAGAACCGACTGCTCCTTGCTAATAGTTAGATGATTTGGGAATGTTTCATTTTCCAAGCCTGTGACGGAAGTAAAAAATACCGTTAGGTTAGCCGCACGATAAAATTAGCACAAGAGTTGGAAAGAAAAAATTTACTAAAACGAACAACAAAATGGAAGAAAAAACTTGCGAATATAAATCGAATTCTTTAGTTCATTGGCCACCGGCGAGTTCTGTATCAGAACGAGTGTTTACTGGGTGTTGCAAAAATAAATCAGAGACCCGAATCTAGAGTTAGGCAGTTTAAGAGTTCAATGAGTGGGTCAATCTGTAATTCCAAAAAGCGAAAACCGAACCTATATTGAAGTAGCTTCATCAGATGTTTCTTTAAATCAACTAACGGCAAGCCGTATCGCGCAATACAGCCACCCAAATTGTTTTGATTAAGTTGACGGGCCGCATTCGCAATATGGCTTTCCAACGAACTAGATAAACCACCCTGGCCCCAAGCTCCAAGATATTTTAGAATCATAGCTTCCACATTATTGCGCGGCAGTTCTTGAAGAATACGAGAAACACGATCGAAATCGCGGCGCTTGATCTCAGATGAACACAGACATCTGTTCGGCTGCACAATCCGCTTAGATCTCATTTCGTGCGGCGAAAACGGACGGGAGCACCGTGAACAGATCATATCCCATTGGGACTCCGCTCCATATTGATTGTCCCTGCATGCCTGACAGGAACATTCAAATTGGTAAAAATGCTTAAGTTCCTGACGTCGCTGGAACAGCGAATGCGTAGTATAGTGCACACCGTAAGATATTAATAATGCGCTCCCTTTGGCGATATGTTCCGTTGCAAACAGACCACAGTAGCCGTCACGCATGAAAATCAGAGCACAATTGGGATCACATGAATGGTTGACGAGCGAGAGTGTTGGATACAAGGCAGAACCCAGATAGCCGGGACGTTCTCGAACCATCATTTGGTGTTCATTAGGCGTGAATCCAATACGAGGCAACGCGTCATGAATTGTAACAATCCGACCTTTCATCACAAAACCATTCAGCTGCACACTCTGGAGATGATACAAAATACACGCGGCAGCCCATGAAGCTGGTAACTGTGAACCTCGAGCTATTTCCTGGCAATTCCCTGGATCTCGAATGCAATCCGGTTGTGACCAAATCAACGGGTATCCCCCATCCTAAGGAAACAAAAAAGCAAGTAAGGATCAGGTGAAAGTTAACATCCAGTAGGAGTAAATTTTGGGAAATAAGTTGACGGAGTTAACGCGAGCATTTCGCTCACCATAACAGAAGTCTCAACCACACCGGTAAACCATTGAGCATGTTATCGTAAAAAAGAGCACTACTCCAGACATTATCAAAAGATATCCCTCGTGACCGTTAACCTACTTTGCGTTGCGCTACCAAATATATACCTGAGAAAAGCCCGCTCGTTTTACTCGATACGTCCCCCACAAAGTTGAAAGCAATTGAGATTATCAAAAAATCTTTACTTTCCTCATGATGTAATCGGATTTGTGCGCATAAATTCGGGTAATGTAATCAAACAAACAACATTTTACTAAGCGTCAAAAGCCTTTTATTGCGGCTACGTAATACAAGTTTGAAGATAAACCGTCTACTGTGGTCATGATACGATTGATAACAGATTGCACTCGATTTTCCGTGATCACTTTGTCATAAATTATCGGTTGCGTCACCGATCTCATTAACCACTGAATTGCGTTCGGCTATTCGTTAGGATAACTATGCATTAGGGCAACTGCACTTGAATTGATAAGCTGTGTGTGGGACGGAACCAGTCGGTCAGTCGTGCTTACGTTTGTCCAGATTAATCTCGCGAGTAGACGCATTAGGTTTCAGTTGACCAACTGGGAATGTATGATGTACTCCTGACCTCATCTTATGACACATCACTTTAAATTTGGTTACGTCTGAACGCAAACGTTATGTAGATGGTCAATTTTCTGTCGTTTTCGATTGGGTTGCTTTCGGAAACGTGATGTATAAAAAACCACCCGAAGTGACAATTGCTTGTCAATGGTTTCTTCAGAAAATCTTTTCATTGCGTCAGTGTACCGCGATAAAAAATAGTTCTCACATGATGAAATAAGGTACNTCTTGGGGAAATGCTGGAAAGTATACCAATTGAACAGTCCATGTTGCAATTCGGTAAACAGAACGGTTTATTGTCCCATAAAATCTGCTGACACCTCTTACGTCGAGCAAGGTTCATGTCCATTGATGGTGGAGTATTCCCAAAAAGTCCCAAAGTTTCTTAAGTTGGTTCTTACCGATTAGCTGCGACATGCAAATCGACATGGTGGAAGGGCGGATAGATACGAACAAAAATGTCTACGAAATTGTTAAATAGTCCCAAGCCAAATTCTCAAGTCCAAGCCAGGAACATGAGAATGGGCGATTCTGTAATGATATAAAAATATACCGATGAGATACAAAGATTAGTGTATTTGTTATAGTGTTATGCGTTCTCTAAACACGAAGCCTAAATTTCAAGTTTGTCAAAAATAGTGGCAAAATTTTAACAACATATGCAGTATCCATTTAAGAAAATGGCCTTATGCAATTACTTAATTCGGTTAGATAATCAGACACATTAGAGCAGTCATCATTCAAAACGAGAATACGGACAGCATTTGTTAGACTTGCGAAAACCGGATACCTTTAACGAACATACCGATAAACAGTGGGTGAGGAATACGGCTGCCACAGTACGCTGCCACAAGTCCCATGGAGTTCGTTTCGCCGAGTTGGTCTCAAGCCAACCGATGGAACGGTAATCTCCAGTGCCTATTCCGCTAGTGGGCAGAACACGGGAACCAGAAAAAGCCGATAATGGTGAATCGACTTTTCCAGAATTTGTTGGATGCTGTAAAGGAAAAGGATGATACCGAGTCTAAGGGAAGCAATGTGGATTATGCACAATATACATGAGGGCCCTCGTTCGACCCTCATAGGAAACTGTTGTGCCGTTCCCGATCACTCACAATTTAACACAAGGATAATACACGGTGACACACAAGGATAACACAGTGACACACACGAGGATAATGCACCATGCTACACAATGACACAGAACGCCGTGAGACACAATGTGGCAGACAACACAGCACAATAATAGTGACTGACATCCGCTAACGACAATTAACGATGAAACACAGACTGGACACTCACGGATGATGTGCACGATATCACAGAGCGCGAACGCACACAGAGACACGAGAGAGGTCCGAACATTACGGAGTGCGTACCTCAGCGGCCACACTAGTCATCTAGTAACACAAGCACGTTCATTGCATAGACTGAGCACCACGAGCACTAGTAACCTTCTCCAAGCTACGTAAGCAAGAACACAGACTATGGGCAATGGACATATACTTGATTCACAGAGAGCAAGTCCAATTTACAGTAGAAATTCATCTGCTTATGTACTTTTCTGGTCTCCGGACATGGAGACCTTCAAAAGTATTGCAGAAAATGAGATTGAAAAACCAGCAAACACCAGTTGAGAGTGGACGATGAGGGCCGAAAACATTTTGAATTATAAAATAAAATATAAACTACTCAAAAGCAGACAGTTTTAGGTAAGTTAGTATTTTCCCCCGGCAAAGTTCAATGGTAGCGCTTGGTCGTGGAGCCGTCCTGGAAAAATCGCAAAGAGCGTCGAACTCAGTCGGTCCAGCGTCCCGTTTTCAAGTTGGATTCCAGTGGTTCGATCCACTTGGGTACTGGAAGAGCGAACGTGTCAATCAATACGTTCAGTGGAAGTGAAATGGGCGTTCCGGTGTACTTGGAACGGGGTTCATGTCTGTGGTGGAGTTGGTTTTGGTGTCGGACCCATGTGTCGCCTCCAACTGTCACATCATAAAGACTACTTCCACAGCGTTCGACTATTGCACTCTGCGCCCAATTAAGATAATCAGCACGATAGTCAAGTGCGTAGACACAAGATCCCCTGGTGAAAACACATTTGAGGGCTGACGACTGACTTCCACTAGTGGCTTTCGGAATCATAGCTGTGTGGACAGTTCTCAGTTTCCGACCCATTAGCGGTTCCGCTGGCAAGACTCCTCCAGGAGCTGAAGGATTCGGGGTTGTACGATACACTAGCGAAAATTGGCTGAGGCGTTCATCACCGGTCCCCTAACCATGCGACTTCTGAAGTGCACGTTTGAAGGTATGCACGAAGCTTTCCACTTAACTGTCGGACTGCGGATGATACGGAAGTGAGTGCAGTTGCCGGTTTTGCAAGCGGTTACAGAGGTCTCGGAACTATGCCGAAGTAAACTGTGATCCGTCTTCGGACACAACTTCTGCAGGGATGCCACGCTGTGCGAAAATTCGCTGGAGTGCAGCGATGTTAGTGGACGAATCAACGTTTTTCATACGGAGGCCATTTGAAATAGGCCTCAACGCTTATAATGTACTGTAGTCCGTTGATTGGTCCGGCAAAGCCAATGCGTATGCGAGACCATGCCGTCTCTGGTATCGGCCAGGGCGTTGGTGGTTGTCGTGCCGAAAGTTTCGCGGCTTCTTGGCATCGAGAGCTCTGGTTAACAGTTAGCGTCCATTACCGACCAGTATGCATAGCCGCGAGCTATGGCTTTCATTCTGGACCTGCCTGGATGCACGGAGTGGAATTGGCGGAACACAGCTCGAAGAAGGGACATGAGGACAATCACACGATCAGGACACAATGTAGCCGTCGACGATGGATAGGGAAATTCGACATGGGAACAAGTGAGTGAGATCTCCGGCGGTGCTCTTTGGTGGTCAGGGGCTGATGAATATCATCACATTTTGGAGCACGGGGTCTTGATTGGTTGCGCGACGCAGTGACTGGGACAGCCCTGATGATGACGACTACTTGGCGGTGAACGTCATCCCCGGTTTGGAGGGCTGCTATTGCGTTATCTTCTTCGCTTGTCTGGTGGTTAACACTGAGGCGGGACAGTTCTTTTGCTCTTCCAAAATGTGTTATGTCGATATTGGATATCGAAGTCGTATCCCACCGATATTGTGTCCTAACGTTGAAGTTGGCTAGCGAAGTACTCTAGGATGCCTTTCTTTTAACCGAATATGGACAACATTAGGTTGCGGTCCGTGGAAAGCGTGGAACGTCTGTCGCACAAGAATTCATGGACTACTTTCACGGCGAACACGATGGCTAAGGCTTCCTTCTCTACTTATTCATAGTTCTTCCCAGCGGCTGAACGCGTACAAGAGGCATGGACGATAGCTCTGGAAGATCCATCTGGAAACATGTGAGATGACCTCTGGAATGCATCCGGCGCAACTGCAATCGGCACGCTTGGATCGTAATGCAAAACCAGTGGTTTTCATGCTAGCAATCGTTTTAACTTGTTGAATGCGGCTTGGAAGGTTAGGGACCACTCCCATGGTACATCCTGACGGAGGACGTTTGACGTCCTTTGGTTCAGGACACCGGATTTCTCCAAACGCCGCAGTTCCTATTCGACTATAGACTACCCTACCGAGTAGCTTCAGAGATCCATCACAGGCGCTGCTGGCGGTTTCCGTTGTCGGGTGGGATGCAGAGCAACCCAAGGACCGCCATGGGTGACGACAGACGATGGTCATGTCGGACGCCGTGTCGATTTGAACGCGGGTTGGATGAGTGTTGCTGTGCGCGGACAAAAATCAACGGTGGGAAGCTGCGTCTATTTGAACATGGGAAGACGTCTGCTGGTTTCGTTGTGCAATGGACGAGGGCGTCGAGGTTAGAACGGTAAACGCGAACTTGAATGACGGCTTGGTTGTTGCGGGCAGAAAACTTCCTTGTGGCTCATTTTGTGACACTTTTGGCAGGAGTGTTGACGGAGTGGGCAGAAATTGTGGAAAAGCATAGAGCCGCAAAAATGGCACGGTGTAGGAGGTTTGCGCTTGGAGTTGGCGAGATCTCGGTGGCTCCGAGGACTTGCTGAAGGATACAGTGTGCACATTTTTGCTAGGGCGCTCGGAATCTTGGCCGAGTGCACCGCCATGCTCGAGGTTCAAGATTCTCAGACACATGGCGGTCAAGGTTCGTAGTTTGGCATTTAAATCCTGTTCGATGGTGTTCAGGAGTCGGGTTCTGATTTCGGCGTCTCTGGGTGACTGATAACCACAAACGAATATGAGATATTTGAATTGGCCTTCAATCATTGAGCGCAATTTGAACCTCTCACTCCTAATTAACAAAGTTTGCATAGGTTTGGAAATCGTTAATGTCAGTTTTCACCAGTTTCAAACATTGATAATAGATACCGAATAGATTCAACTCGCCAATGTACCGGCCAGTTGTTTGACCGTTTCATCAAGGGTAAAGACTCTGAGGCACTGGGGTAAGATAGTGCTCCTATACTGCGTGTGATCTTTGACACCTAGGCTGCGGATGAACAAATGGACCGTCTAATCGTCATCTTTATTGGTGAATTTAACTCGGAAGATGTCTTCCCATCGGGTGAGTCACGAGTCAAATGTGGTGCCGGAATCTGGATCTCGGTGATGCTCAACGCGATCACCTCTGCTGGTGTGGCTCACCTGGAACGGGACGCGTTCGTTGACTGAAGATTGAGTGACCCTAGCAGAACTTCGAACTGGAAATGCTGCTGCTGCAGGATCGACTTTAGTTATTCCGCGGAGATTGACATCATGGATGAAGTGAGACACCCAACAACAATTTGCTATGTGTTACATTGTGAGTGATCGGGAACGACACAACACTCAATCGTCAATAGAACTGCTGCACATTTTGAGAAACGTACGAACCAGCCGGAGGGATATGTAAAAGTTTGGTATTAAATTATTGAGCCACGAGGTACTGTTGTGAGATACTACTTACTTGCGAGTAGTGATTGATTTTAACGATCGAAAATGAACAAGCTNGAACAAGCTCACCGAGGACAGTTTGCTGAGTCTCAAAGAATAACTATTGATTGCTACATTCATTACCCGTCGTTTGATCAGGAACGGCAATGTTTCTGATTAGGATTTTGTTATGCAGGCAAAACTACTGACCTCCCTTCTGTAATCCTCAATAAACGAATATCCTCGACCAGCACCGCCTATTGGAATTGTAGCAGTGCGAGTGAGAAAAGCAACAGATAGATTATAAAAATACATTTTCACTGACGGGACTGTGGTAATTCTTCGAGAGAGGGAGGGTGTGCATTACTATTACCATGACAGTGGCTTCTGTAGCAAGAAGGCCATTTTGTGTGTAAAGGTCAGCATCTGAATGGGTAAAGCCAACGAGCCAGATGAACCTGAGCATCGTTATCCATCGAAAATGGGCAACAGTGAAAATATGATCACAATTGAGCGAAGATTGTGTTTCAGTTTTTCAGTTTTTACAACCAATAACGATGCACTTTCGTGCGCCGGTTTTGGTTGCTGTCTTTTTGTGCTGCATTTAGATAAACAGCAGAATGAAGATTAGAATGTTGACAGCCAATTCAAGCGGCAGATGGAAACTTCATGTGGAGTGATGTTAGCAGAATAATGAGTAGATCAACGAGCGCCACTGTTTGTGACACCCAGTCATATCACTCAGGGTCTCTAACGAACGGTGACCGTCATTTCGGGGTCCCCAGCCACGGAGCCTAACGGGGCTTGTGACCTAGTTACTTGTTTAGGGATTTCATATCCTAATGGCGGGTTTTTTATCACCCTTGACGTTTTTACAACCGGTACCCGCCTTGGCAAACGTCGCCGTGACAACCTATTTGGTGACAAGAGTAGCCCTGAACAACGTAATCAGAGGAGGTCGATCACTTGCTCCAGTGGATCACCGCGACTGCCTAAAACTCTACGCCTGAATTCAGCNTCTTGCGGTTACCCCGCCATACTCGTGAAACGCGACGTAGACGGCGGTGTTCGAATACCGACAATCTATTTTCATTCTTTTCCTGTAGTGGCCGAGTCTCTGCACCATAGAGCAGGACTGACCGAACTGTTGCAGCATATACTCGACCCTTTGTGGTAACATTGTTCTCNTTCTCACTTTTCAACGCCTTTCCACTGATTCATGTAAAGGCCTTATTTTGTTTTATTGTACGCTACAACGAGATCGTATATGACCTCCAATGTGGCACAATTTCCGGAGGGTTGTATCGTGTACCTGGCTATCTGCACACTTTTCCGCTGCAGGTCACATTACACTGCTAAAGCTCGTACCGAGTTTGTCCTCAATCCGATCTCGGTCTAGGAAAAGTTGCGATAAGCCCGATCTATAGAATTCTTGAACGTGTCGTCGCTCAGCCCGTCCTAGGTGCTAAGCCATCATAGATAGCCGGATGCCTCGACGGTGCCTCAAATGTCTCAAGTTGGCAAATACCAACGGAGGCTTCTGTATGCAAGCCGTCACATCATCCGTGATGCTCCCGCCAGGTGAGATAGCAAAGTTTGTCCAACACCTCTACTACTTCCCCATTCAGGATTGGATTGGGTGATGGACCAACCCAAACTTGGAGAAACATTTTACACTATGAAGGTGGGAGTATATCGATGCCACCATTCTAGAACGAGGATAGGGCTGTTTCCATAATCCGATCTATAACAAAGTTAAACATAAAAGGCGAAAGATGGCAACCCTGACGAACACCACTTTCCGTGGTGAATTCGGGTGAAAAAGTGCCGTAAGCTCGGCCTCAAATTCGACACGGAGTGTAGAGGGATCGTGATATTGAAATAATCTTCTCGGGCACACCATTCAGGGAAAGGCAGCGCCAGAGTTTAAAGCGATCGACTGAGTTGCAAGCCACTTTCGGATTGAGGAGAACAGAAATGTTGGGTCTACAAGTGTCTGGCTTCTGGAATTTGACGGAGAGTGAAGATACAACCTCGACCAGGTCTGAAACCAGGATGGTTCTCACGTGTTTATCGTTCACATGCGGCAAACAACCGACGGAGTACAACAACAGCGAGAAGTTTAGAGATGTTGTTGATTTAACTAATAGCTCGCCTGCTGTTTTTACAACCTCCTAAATAAAGACTTGAAATGGTCTAGCTGTGGACTGAACGTGTCTCTTCAATCCCGTTAGAGTTGGTAAGCAACCTGTGCTAACTTCATTTAATGTGGTAAGCAGATAAAAATGCAATAATTCAAAGCTTTGGTGGGATTTTAACACAGTATGCGGCTGATCGATTCCAGCCTCGGTTTACATGATGCGCCTGTGTGATTTTCAGATCACTCTGCGTGATACGAGGTTTTGTTCAACGTTGCTCATTTGAATACCTACCAATCACCCAGTCACTCTGGTGGATAGAAATTGCGTTATAACATACCTGTACCAATTCGCCAATTATCCAGGGAGGCGTGCTAGCCACACACGCGTATGCCAAAATTGCATCCGAAGAGCCACCAATGGAGGGCAAGTCAAACCGCATGATTAAACGTTGGCAGTAAATAAGCACATCTGATTTTTGACCTCTTTCATTACATTGGCGCAGCGTTTTCCAATTGGCATAGTCTTCTAGAGACAACCGCTCCAGTTGTCCACATATAAGAGAATGAGGCATCCTATTTCGACTCACGGTGGGTCTTGGTGATGATTCTTCCGGTTTCACCCATGACGTCGCCCATGAAGCTTGTTCGCACTCCTCAGAACAAAACACGACCTTGACAGACGGAAAATAAACGGATTCATAAGCGCACTCAAAATATTGTATGTTACTCCTTAGGAAAAAACGGTTTTCCAACAATCACATTCCGGCAGCATAGGATAAACCTAAATTTTCCTCACTATCGTCATCTGGTCGATATAATTTAGTTCATTTGATCGTTCTGGCTTTTGATTTGTGTTCGTTCAGAAACGCACTCTAATGTAGCATTACTGTTCAACCTTGTTGAAAGCCGATGTCTTAAATTTCAAGTACTGGGTACGTTTACCGAGCGTCCTGGCATTCACTAAGATTACCGCTACCATGGTAGATTTCTTGGACTATACAAAACACGACCTACCCATTTCAAACTGAATGAACTCACCTCGGAGCAAGAACGACATGGAATGGGGTTTACACACCATCGCAGACATTCCTCGCAAAGTAAACCTATCCCCGGCATGCCAGTAACCGCAACGTATGGTTTTTCCATGATGACCATTTCGGCTAAAGAAGAACAGATACGCAAAATGTATTTGATATTCAAAGCAAAAGTTTGCAAATTTGTAAACGCTTTGCTACATCGTATAGGGTAAACAACCGAAATACCTGGTTACCAGATGTTCCTCATTTCCGTTGTCACAAGTCTTTCAAATTATTTTCAGTTTGAAAAGTATAATTACGCTGTCAGCTGGCGGTTCTGGATCAATGGGGTATACACCGACATTCAACAGCTGAGAAAAGATGAAATGAAGCCTATGTCATCCAGCAGTTAATTCACAGGTTTTGTAAGATAAACCAAACGTGAGCACTGTTCTAATCAATAGGCCACACATCCAGTCTTATGGCTCAATAATCGTGTACCATTTACAATAGTCATACATCGGTATTTATTCAAAACGGCAGCGACGTGAATCAAGAAAGGTTAGATATTTTCTGTTTACTGAAAACAAGTAAGGTGTTTCTTCTGCTAATCCATTCCAATCAAGTCCCCTGCTTGACCGGCAATGTTGAACTCGCTTGGCGATCGATGACTCTGATGCCGTATATAAAAAGAAAAATTGGAAATTGGAAATTGGAATCTAAGACCAATAAGTTAACCATTACGGCGAGAAGTTAGTACACGATGAAGTTATCAAGTAATCTCAGTCTGTGAGTGATGACACGGATCTTTTTATTCAATTGTGTGTTCATAACAGACGTCCGGATGTCATCGTATTTTGCATCAGCTCCAATGACTCCGGTATATTACCTGTTATCTGTACGACACGGAAGCCAATATCGAAGTGACCAGTGAGCTACTGTCACGAAACAAATGTTCTCATGTCTTCTCGTAAAACATTTCACACATGGCGTGATCAAGTTCAACACAGAAGGCTCGTTAATGGTTAGATGTCTTGCAATAGCAGTTAGAAGGCCGAGTGCCGTACGACCTGCGAGATTAACACTGTGAAGTGTAAAGTCAAAGTTTCTGAATGTCAAGACGCTTCGCTTTGAGTACCGAAATGAAATAAATGTCACTGATTCAAGTACAGCAGGAGGTTTATTTTGACACACTGAGCTAGCACCTGCATTGAAAACCCGATTTAGTGGAAACCATAGAACCGGAAAGAATTCAGTGCCTCCCTCCACCTGGTTGGATGATATATGCCTTTTTATGCTGGGGTGAAATAGGGAAATTTAATTAGTGATCTCGATCATCCGCAATATAAACCGGTTGGTATGGTGGTAACATACGACTTTCACACGAAAGAATTCGAAGTTGGAATTCAGAAGACGAAAAACATTTCTTGCAGATGAGCTAATGCTTGCTGGGTCTATTGTTGTTTAGGTAGACTACTCATATTGTGTAAGTTGGACCAGCAAGAAGTTGGCTATTCCAAAAGTATAGAAATAACGCATTTCATGTTATAGGAACAGACAACGGACTTATTTGATCGCGGATCTAGACTGCCATGGAACCATGAACCAATTGTTTCAGATTATATGCTTCGTTCTGTTTAAATCCGTTTGTCTCTCACCAATATCCCCCTCGCAATAAATAATTCCAGTCAGGTCAAGCATACGCTTCGACTTGCCTTACTTTGACACTTCCAAGGTGGACATATGACAAGGGAAATTAACGTGAACTAATAGTAACTGAGTTCGATATAGCTCAACTGAAGCGCGTGAAATTACACCTTGTTGCCTATGACCTGCGATTGAGGCAATCCATCCGATGCGGTCATCTTTTTTACATTCTTATTAGTATTCCTGCAACTCACGTTTGACTTGGTGCTAGCTTATCCATAATTGACTCATGCATTCAAGTTCATCGTTCACCAAATTGTGAACTCAGTACTTTTTCCCAACCCATCCAATATGCCCCGATTTACAGTTTTGTGCAGGGAGCCCAACAGCAAGGGCTATCGGTAGTTTCATCAGATTTTGTTTTTGTCGATACTGAACAAGACAGCATCCGGTGATTCATGAGTGAGGTAATCAAAGATACCAGTGGATGGTCCAATGAGAATGAAATATAGAAAGATTAGTATACATCAGTAACAAAGTGACGTGGTGACTGAACAACTCTGTGTTTTATTAGGCAAACGATCAGTGATAAAGTAATCACCGAAAAGTCATAACGCAATATCATACAGTCGCTTTCGTACAGACCAGATAAAAACTCAACATTAAATGAGTGGCACCATATGGGAAAGATTCGGAAACGCCTGTGTCTAACACAAAATCTTGAAGCTGTTTTATCTGGCTATGGAGAAATCCAGCCTCATCGATAGATGAGAAGAGGAATGCCCGTGGTTCCATGGACACTTGCATATAAAAACTAATCACCAGGGTCATTCAGAGGCATCACCGTGAAGAACAACCAAACCCTTTATCCCTAAACTAGCGGTTTATTGTCCAAAATCGCACTCCAAAATGGGACATTACGATAACCCACGTGACGATCACCTTTGTAACCGAAATTATGAGGTGCAAGCACTTTTATCCGAGCAAATCCCAGGCGGAAGATGCAAGTCATGGGAAACAGGTGGTCAAAAGAACACCGGAAACGGTACAATCATTTCAACATACAAAGCAACTGAAAATAAACATCCGAAATTAGAATGAAATATCTGACAAGTGGACAGAACTCAGGGAAAAATTACTGACCACACGAGCAGTCAATTTGAAAAGTTCTTTTGGCACAGCGATAAATATTCAGATTGGGCGGGAAAGGTATGATGAAATGGATTCAAATTAAGTTCTTCGCAAAGCGCTATTCAACCCTCATGAATTGATCACGGTTCCGTCATCTAGCTCAGGAACAGTGAGGTCATATTCACCGTGCGGACAGATAGCAATAACAATCATTCATTATTTTTTTCAAATCATTTACCCCATAACTGCACCGGTAGTTAATTGTTTGTAATCACACAATGTCAACCCACAACTAGGTTGTTTAAACATTTTGTCCACGTCAATCTGATAATCAATAGCAGTTCATCGCCTCCAGGAATCGTCCTGTGTTTACGATCAGTTTTTTTCACTTTGGTCTGCACTTGCATATTTTTCTGTACATTTAACCCATAAATAGCACTCCAGTTTAACAGCCAATGGATGGATCCACTTCCAAAGGACTCATCGCTGTGCATCACGCAGCCCTGAGAGAGAAAATAACCAAGCATACCTATTAACTTCATATGAATAGATACTGTGGTTCAGTCTCAAAAGACGGCAGAAGAATGACGACGAAAAAAGAGAGAAATAGCATACGTCGTGCATTAAGATCGTTATACCACCGGTTAACCTTGAATTTACACGTAGTGAAACATAGCAAACTCCTCACTGAACTGACCTGGTTGGATATCTCGAGAAGCAATCAATCCCCAACCAAGTGCATCCCCATTGTAGATGACATCGAACGGCACCGAACACATCGGATGCCGTGATCGACCTTTTTTCCGTCCCTTCGATTTGTGCGAAGTGTTAGAAAGCGGGAGTTCTCCGAAAAAATCAATATCATTAGACGGATCGCAATCATTATTTGATGGGGAACCTAATCCATTCAATATGTTTGCACAGAGAGACAAGTTCCGTTCAATGAGGTCATTGATTGCACGCTTATTTGGCGTGTTTTCCAGTTGACTTTGAAGCTCGATCAGATCAGTTTTGGCCTCCTCCACTTGTCCTAGTTCGATCAAGCATTCCGCACGACGTATAATCAGCCGATATCGATTGCGTTTCGGGTAGTTACACTAGAAAATTAATATCACACAAAGAAAATGAAAAGAAAACTCGAGAAATCGCACATTTTAGTTGCTTTCCGTCAATGGAAGCAAAAACATAAGTAAATATTCTTACACATGGTTTTTCTGATGTGGGCAACCTCATTCTCAATCCCGCGAATGCGGCTGTAAACACTGAGCGTTGGGAAAAATAAATGTGATGAAATTTAGAATGTTGTTCGAGTTTGGTCAATACCTGTATAGGGCCTCAAGCAGAATAGGCATAAATCATCAACAACACAGCTATGAAGCATACGGTCTCTTCGGTATTTTAAGGTTCGTTTCCTATCAACATCCGCAGTTCATCCAAGCCCGTATTTTGGCATTGACCAAACTTTGGTGATACTTTGTTATCACTATTGTGGATTTCAATAAAATGCTCGAACCTTGAATTCGGTAACCGTGATCGAAACGCTGTTGCCTGCAGCAACGACATAAACCGACTAAATACAATACACAACAGGGAGATTGTGTATTTCCCTAATTAATGCTTCACAGCTCCTAAGAGTTCTGAGTGCGATTGTAACCAGCAAGACATTACCTGGGTTGGATACATAACCGCAAAGGATCCCGAAAACTGACGCATACAGCGCGATTCCGGTAACAGTTACAAACCGTCTGTTACAATGGATCTTTCTCGCCATTTAAAATAATCAATCAATCAAAATAGTCGTCCACTTACGAGTCAGAAGAATGATTTCTGACAACCGGTCGACACATAAAGTAAGAATCACCTAAAACTCAACCCTTTTACTGGATGCTCGCACTGACATTGCCCTGGATTTCTAATTCCACTCTTATTCTAACTCTTAAACCTCCTCTCATCAATAGCCTGAGAAATGAATACCACAGACATCAAGTTGCAAAGGATGAGTTATGCTAGTAACAGTCCTGATTCCTATCGCCAAAAATAATCGACGAGTCGGTCGGCACACTGACTCACATTCAAAAACGCCATCTTGAGCTAAGTACAGCACATTTTACCTTCAAATTCAACTAAATCCCATTTATGGTGTAGCTGCCAGAAAGTAAATCGATACATGTTGTTGTACAAGATGTATGGAGCTGATTTACTACACTATCCAATATTAAACATACGCAATCCGGTACTGCAACCTTAGACCTAAAGCAAATCCATTTGCGTGCTAGAAAGGTTACGTTTGAAGACCCATGTTGAGGAGGGAGTAAATAGTATCCGACCGAAAATCTTCCTGAAAAACAAAGTTCTACCTGGATGGCTCGATTGATGTCTGCCAACGATCGAGAACAGAACTTCAGCGATTTCCATACGACCGATCGATTTGCATAAACCAAGCTCTTCTGTGCGTCATTCACCGCAAATTTCAGAGCATTATCGTAAAACAGCAATGCTTGTTTCCAATCGTTCGCACGCCAGGCACTATTCCCCAACTGTCGAAAACAGTTTGATTGAGATTCGAACGATATTTTGTTCCTTGAAATCGCGCGAATTTTGCGATCTAAAAAGGTAAGTTGTTATATACCGTAATAAAACCCTCAAAATCTTTTCTCACGACTCATGGATTCATGCAACATCGAAGTCTTTTTTATGTATAATACCCGAACACTGACATTCCCTTCGTTCTACTTGAGGTTTAGTCTATTTAACCCATCATTTTCAAATCATCGTTGAAGGACATAGAAGCGAACATCGTAGGTATACATTTCCAATTGTCCAAATAAATGGTTGATAGAGTAAACTGAGAGTTGAATTGAGATGTGACTAATAGACATGCCCATTGAGAACATCCGCTGTTTGTGAACGCAAATGGAACCCAAACAACCAAGAGATAAAATTTTCGCTTGAATCTAGCCCATTATTTGGGCTAAAGTGGAAGCTATCCACACTAAGTACCACAATAATCAGCAACGAAGCGTGTATCCATTAGCGGCACACACACATTGCGCTGCAGTCGAAGCGCAGGTGTCGTGACAGGAGTGATCGCCCGAGTGTTAAGTAAAACAGTCATTCATGTACAATGAACTGATATAAAGAAACTTTGGCTAAGCTTGCAATTGGACAGATAACGAGTCACAAAATCCATAAAATTAAAATATTTCTAACTGAATGTTCGTGATAACCAACAAAGAGCACTTGACAGCTGTTTCGTCCTGTTTGGGACCCGTCAGTGGTGCGTACTTTTTGTGTTCCTGTCAGGACTCGAACCACGAGATTCGGATCGGGAATTCAAACCCGTCGACTGTGTAGCACAGGGGTAAGGATTTGAAGTCCCAATGCGACTGATCGCGGTTCGCGAGTCTGACAGGGACACAAAAAGTACGCACTGCTGACGAGTCCCAAACAGGACGAAACAGCTATCAAGTGCTCTTTGTTGGTTATTACAAACATTTCCATCGCATTTAAATGCATACAAACAGTGGGGAATTAACGATCTCCCAAGAAGTGAAACCCGCATCGAGAACCATCAAGAGTGCCTCGTGCCTCTGAACAATCGAATGGGTTGATCCAAGCTTGATACTCTAAAATGTATTACTGAAGTTTATCACGGTTGACCAGTTGATGAACCATCATGATCGAGAACCCATACTTGCAACATGCTCGCAAAGACGAGTGCCAAACAAGACGGAACAGCTATTCAATGATCTACTTCGGTTTTCACAAACATTTTCATCGCATTTAAATGAAATACTAGAGTTTACCACAATCGACCAGTTTATGAACTATCATGTAGATGAAACCCCATTTTCTTTAGTTCACATCAACCATGAATTTTTCTATAGTTCCTCACCCGTGGATTACTATATCATTCTTTCCTCATGGATCCGAGAATCAGCTCCTGGTTTTAATTTGATATCTTTTCAGGACAAGGTTAGGTTAATCTCGTGCCTTTACCCACTCACGGCATTTTTGCAATTATTGCAGAGGTGAGCTCTGTAGAAACAAACGAGCCCCAGTTAGCACGTCCCACCACATGCAACCATGCATACAGATCTAAAAAATAAGAATTCACTGCCCCAGAAAAACTTGGCTAAAATCAAGGAATCCTTCACACAATTTTACTGTCCTCTCCAATTCGAAAAGCTGGGCCAAAAGGCAACACTTCAACGGCTATCTTAACTTCTCGTTGTAGGTGTTGTCTCATTGAAATTGTATGCGTCCTCGATGGCACATTTCCACCACCTCTTCTAAGGTGGCTTCGTCTTGATAATGGAAAGATATTTACTAATGGCAGGCGCAACGATTTGAAACGATTAGTGATTCTCATCAAGTCAGAGAATCAGCGCTTGAATCGGTTGTATGTCGAGATAATGTTGGGTCTCAAGCAATGTCGCGAGATGTGGTCAGCCGTCACTCAAATATGCAGCACACGTTGTAGCTTACGTTAGGATTGGAAGCTCTTAATTCGAAAAGTTACGGCCTCATATGTTTCCAATTATCTATCGTTCTCTTTCAGTCCCCTTAAACACTAACCACCCTTCTCCGATTGAGGTTCTCAATGTTTTGAAGCAACGTGAAAGAAACAACGTTCATGATTCTGATTCATTAGCACCCATTTTATTGAAAACCTGTACCAAACACCTCATTAAGCTATTCAACTTGTGCGCGTCCTACGGAACGATCCGAGGTAGCTGAAGGGCCGCCCGAACAGGACCCACCTCTAAGAAAAGCCTCACCCAGAGCACTTCAAAGAGTCCTGTCAAATCGGATGACTACCTTAGCTGATCCCCACCTTCCTTATCACTGCTTGCAAACCTCTCGCTCTAAGTAATTCCTTATATGGTTCATCCTGTGGCTTTCTTTTTACCTATGAGTGTTTGAACTGTTCCCCCACATGCCTCGACCATGCCGGTTTCGTTGGTTTCCTTCAACCTCAAATCCGGCGCCCGGTTTCAACCTAATTGAACGATATACCTGAACTCGTCGTCGCTGGTTACAGCAATCCCAATTTTAACTCTGTTAAACACCATCGTTTTTGATCCATCCTAAAACCTCTCATGGATTCGCCATGTAGAGGAAGTTTACACTAGGGCATGTTAACTCTATTTTTGTGCGTTCAGACATAAGCAACATGCTGATTCACAAAATGCGATTTCTAAATTTGTGATTGCATGCATCTCCTCTCATCAACTGTATGGTTCCCATTTTTTCGGCTAGGATGGGAATGATTTCATTATAATATCCAGATACTTCCCCTTTCCTTATGAAGTGGTGCAGCGAGAAATGCAACAGTTGATTGCTGTTTGATTGTGCAAGCATATCAATGAATGAATGCGAACTGTTGATAGAATCTTGGACAATCAAGCCGTTTGCATGCGTATCGATCTGTTTAAATCCGTGTCAACCTACTGTGCCCGTTTTCTTAAACGCTCTGGCACACACCGCTACATCCGGAAACAGCATCCTCCTTCACCTTGCACTAATTACCACAGGCGGAAAATCTTCTAATTTGAACTATATAGTTATCCATGGCTTTTGTGAAAAGTTCGGTAGCCTCGGTGGGATTCGAACTCACGCTTGGATGCCGCCTTCGCCAGCTGAGCTACGAGGCCTCGTAAATGAAGTGGAGGCATCCATGCGTAGGTTCGAGTCCCACCGAGGCTACTGAACTTTTCACAATCGACATTGAAACTTCAAATCTGCCAAACAACAATATGTGGTTATCATCTTATTGTTCGCAGTGTGCTATCATATGGTTTAAACCCTGCATACTGTATTGCGTAATTTCGCCAATGCATTCTGATGAAAAGCGTGTTAAATTCACAATTCGGATGCATAAAGCTCATTTTGACTTTATTGTGGCAGTTAACTGTGTTTTGCGGGGCTCAAAGGCACGTCACACAAATGTAAGCAAATTAACCGGCTTTTAAAGTCATGATTTACTTTTCCGAAAGCGGTCACCCTTGCCTATGCAATGACTTTTCCAATTCAAATTGNAATTGTTCGAAGGTCATTTCAAGAAGACAGAGCATCACTTTAAGCAGTCTTGCTAACCTTCTCGTTGGAGCTGCCAGCCTCCTGTATTTTTTCAAGAACACAGCAATGCCTTTATGACTACCATGCAGTATAGACGCCTCGTCGACCATAGTGAGACGTACCTCGGACATACAGCTCAGTTTCTATGAGATTTTGATTGTTTACGCACCTGTATGTTCGTCCCCTTTACCCTGGAAAGTCATACCCGCTAATACCAATGAACCAGACGATTAAGTTTCGCAATGAGAAAGAACACCAGATTTTTTCCACTAGTTTGAGGACAAGAGTAGAGGCGAGGCACCAACATATACGATAATTATATGGTATATGACGCGTTTAGTCTGGTATTGCCTTATTCAGAAGTGCTTCTCCATCCCTTCTGTGTTGTGATGAACTGCAAAAAGACAGCTCCAGTCATCTGTGTACAGGCGGTTCTATCA